AACGCGCAGGCGCCACGTGCGGCGCTGGGAGCGCTCGGCCGCGGCCGGGCAGCCCGGCCCCGCGCGCAGCAGCCGGGGCGCTGGCTGCTCGTGTCGCGCGGCCCCACGCGCGGCCGCTCGCGCCTTCCCGGAGGCTCCTCTCTCTCCATCGCCCGCGRGCGRCTCTTGGAGGGAGCCTCTCGCTGCCGCCGGAGCCAAGGCCTGTGGGGGCAGGCAAGGCTAAACGCTTAGCAGATCTAAGTGCCTACGTGAACAAAACCATTATCAAGCTTTGTTTATTTGTAACGTAGACAAAACATATTGTGTTTGAATACAAGGAACAGGGCCCTGAGAGCCCCTAATTGCCCTAACGAGCTTCAGCCGGGGCTTCCCACCCAGAATCCCATGGGGCCTCTGCCCGCCTCTGCTCTGGCCATTGGCCACGTGCCTGTATTTAAGCTGGCCTGGAGGCCTGGTTAAAATCAATAGTTTTTTATTTTTATTATTTTTGTTGGTTTTTAGAAGAGAGTTTTTTTGCTGTTTAAAGTTTTTTTTTTTTGTAAGGGTGGTTTTATTGTTGATTTTGATACTGTGGATAGTGTTATATCATAAGTAATCATTGTAAAAGTTATGATATTAAAGTTTTTTTTAACTTACACCTTTTTGTTTTTTAGGAACATTTTGGAGTTTTCTTAATGTTGTTTTTCAAGTAAATTTTTATTTGTGTGACAAAAATTCCTCTAAGTTTTATAGATGTTTTCTGGAGTTATTAATAGGTAGGAGGTCTTCTCCTGCTTCCTGAAGTTAACAGTAAACTTTTCTTTGTGGTTTCAGTTAATGCCATACTAAGGCAAAGAAAAAAGTTTCTCTATTGTTTTTGCTGATTATTAGAGAAAGTAGAAGAGCTGAAGTTAGTAGATGCAGGGCTTTTATTTCTTAAGGTAGCTAAGATTCTAAGCTACTTCAAAGGCTCCTTTGCTGTGGATATTTAGATTGTGAAAAAGTGATTATACTAGATCTGAAGACAGTGTTATAAGAAAAAGCTTTTTAATCCTCTTTTTCTTTTTGAACTTTAAGGGTTATGTTCTCAATGAGAACTTCGCTTTGTAACTCCCCTGTGACTTCACTTTGAATTACAGAAGGTGAGATGTTTTAATTCCTAATACAAAATAGTTAAAATATTTCTTGTTTATTCTTTCTCCTTAACTTAAATTTTCATGTAGCAAAAACTTTAAGTGAAGGAACACAGAATAAGTAGTTCAATAGCCTTTTGAAATAATCAGAACTGTTTATCTTTTCATCTGTCACAAAGATTTCTGTTTTCTTAAAATATGAGGGGATGTTTAATGACTGAGTCAGGCTTTTCTCCTGGCGTTTGTCTTTTTACAAGGAAGGCTATCATCTCAAGTTTCTGTTCATGTTGTTTAAACTCTTGGAAGGCTGCATCAGAAATGGTCTGCCCTAATCAAACCACCTAGTCAGTGTTACAGCTGCAGAAGCCTCTAGTTGGGCTGGGTGGCTCCCAGTAATTCCCAGGTGTGAGGGTTGTAGGCCTGTGAATGGGACAGGAGAGGAAAATATGGGGTGGAAGGGGTCTAGCACTAACCAAGTGTTGGTTTTTTAGGTTTTTCAAGCACATCTTTTGAGTTCCTTTTCCTGAACAAGGGGGGGAGAATAAAGTAGAACAAAGGTCTTCAAAACATACATAAGGTGAGTGTGATTTTTTTAAAAAAACATCTTTCATATATGAAGTGTTTTAACTCCAAAAGGTTTCTACCTTGCCTAAACTAGGCAAGGATGTCAAAACATGAAATTGTTTAGTGTATTGTCTAGGTAATCCAGTCCCAAGTAAGTAAAGCTACTATGTTGTAGACTACAGGAGCTTGGTACTCTGGAGTTTCTCTTGAGGAGTGTGTTAGCTTATCACAGAGGGGATGGTGAAGGTCATGTTAACTAAATCTCTTTATAAACATGTGAAGGAGTAATGAGACAGCTAGAGCTGGGAAACAAGGGCTGCAACTCAGAGCAGAGCTAGTGTTATGTGTGAGTAAAGTGAGGGATCCCCAAATACTGCCTAAAGAGGGAAGAGACTTAATGTAAATGCTAGATTGAATGTTCCTATTTAACATCTTTGTGCTGTGGTTGCCTCCAAGCCTAGCTAAAGCAGGCTTGAAACTGTAGTTGGACTGTACCTCTGCTACAGAGTTATGGCTGAGATTACTCTTCTTCAATACTTAAACTTATCCAAAAAAAGAGGGTTGCATTTAGGCTTTGAACTGGTGCAAAAACTTGCCATGAGTGGAGGCCAAAAAATCAAGCTACAGGTGGGACAGGTTTGGGGAGAGGAGGCAGTGAGTGCATCCCTTGATCCTTTTCCAAGGAATGGGAAGAGAAAGTGAGGATGGGCTCCAAGTCATAACTTCCATGATACCAAATTAGAAGTCTTGTTTTCAGGGACTTCAGGTTGAGGAGGGGAGGGCACATGGGTGGGGTGGGTCCTGTCACTGAGGGTCAGCCTGCTAAGGGATGTACTGGGGTGGGAGGTGGGAAGGAGTTCTCTTCCAGTACATGGACATTTTACAAGGGGAGCAGCTCTGCAATTGCCTCCCCAGCCTAGCTAGTGAGTGGAGTTGTTGGAGAACCTGGTGTTCATTTCTTGTCCTCAGGTTGTCCCTGTGCCCTGGTGTGACATGGTCAGGTGAGAGGGAGCTGGACCTAACTTCCTGAGGACAGAAGCAGAGCTGTGTCACTGATAGTGCTTCTCCAAGGTGGTTGTGTGTCTGTCTGTTAGGACAAGTTGGTTAGAAACCTTCTCCCAGCAAATGGAAAAAACATTATGAAACCCTAAGCTAGCTCCTGAGCTGACCTTTAAGTGTCAGAAGGGGAGTTGCCTTATGGTGCTGTTAAACAAATAGTGCCTGTTAATGCAGAGGGTAACCTGGGTTTCATTGAGGCTGGTCATAGTTTTGAAAAGGGCACTTTGAGGAGGCTGTGGATGTGTTGAGCTTTTCTGTATCAGCATAACCTGTAACCCCCAGGTGCAGAGGGCTGGTGGTGGTGGGCAGGGCAATTTCAGCCTGCCAGTGTGTACTGGAGTCAGCTGAGAAAGGAGRGAAAAGAGGAGGCTGGAGAGAAGTTACTGCTTGCAGTGGTTCTGCAYGTGGCTGCAGCCTGTGCCTTACATGGGAGGCAGTATATCAGCATATGGGCTCAGTATTGGGGGGTGCGTATGTGACATGATGGCTCTTAACCAGCTCAGTGAGTGGATTATTCTGTGGGTGTCTCCCAACAAGCAGCTGGTTCATGATGGAGTTCTCTTGTGTTTCCTGATGTTCTGGCGGCACCTGCAGTGGGAGCAGCCTGGGATCCCCTGGCTCTGTAAGGCACAGTTAAAATCCTGCTCTCCTGGAGAAGAGACAATGCAGGAAACTTGGTGCAAGTGGTGACAAGTCAAAAGGCAAGGGTGTGCGTGAGTACAGAATGGGAAGCAAGTGGAAGAGATGCACAAGCAACTATGAATTTTGTATAGGGCTATTTAGTGCTTGACTGGGGGGAGTGGAGGAGGAAGGCAAATATATCTCCTTCTGTTGCTTAGCTCTAGGTATTATCTGTTGGAAGGGGGACAGATGAAATGCAGTTGAGTTGGTTTCCAGGCAAGGATCTGCAACAAATGAGGGTAATGCTGCTAGAGTAGTGGTGCTACTGGCATATGTGCCAGCAGGCCTAAGCACTGCAGTCTGTCAGTGCTCCCTTAGCTTTAGAGGTGAGCAGAAGCTGACTTCTCTTCTGGGGTCCCAATTGTTGGCAAGGCTCTTGAAAATTATGAGTATAGGTTCTCTGTGAAGAGGGTATGCAACCTTAGTCCCTTCTCTCAGTTCAACACTGAGACATGAGTGGGCAGGAGGTCCAGGGAGGTCTCAGATGGATTTATGAGTTGTGTCCATAGTGCCTGCCAAGTATGAAAGCTGGAAGAAGCTGTAGGTGAAACTGAGGTAAAAGGCTTGGATTGTGTCTAGGCCTTGATGTGTGCTTTGTGTGTCCTCTAGACTTGACAAGAAGTTTGCAGCATAATTTGAGTCACTGCCTTCATCTTGAGTGTTGGAAGATGTGGCCTGCAGTGCTTGCACCATCAGCTGTGTGCTGCAGGGATTCCCCAGGCTCAACTGTGCCCTGGGCCCTTGGGGAGAAGCATTTTGCTGCTGCGGGGCCAGCTCTATGGAGCTAGGTGACACTTGGTGGCCTTCGAACTCCAGTGCCAGGGCCTCTGGTTGCTGGGGATGTGAGTATTGGCTGAGCAGCCTGCAGGAGGGAGAGCCGAGTGGGAGGCCCCTTGGCTGAGCCTGTGCCTTGGCAGGACTTGGCCAGATCCCTGAAGATGTGTCCCTGCACTGCCAGCAAGAAGCTGCCTCGTGTCCCTTGGCTGGAGGTTGAGAACACAGGCAACAACTGGGAAGAACAGGTGAACACAAGGCAATAAATTGGGGCAGATGCCAGCCCCAAAAGGACCAGACACAGCCCCTGCCTGTCTTATCTCCCTAGAACTAGGCTGAGTGCTGGAACCCATGTTAGCTTTGTGCCCTCCTAGAGCTTCATCTCTGGTGGGTGAACAACTTGGATCTTAGGTGGCAACAGGACAAGCATGACTAAGCCCTTGAAATACAGTAACTGTGGGAATAGCTGGTGTGAACAGCTTGTAGAGAATGACTTCAGGTGCAAGGGGTGCTCTGCCATCCCCTGAGGGTTGCACAGGGCTGCCCCATTTCACATGGTGGTCTTGGTTCTCCCTGCTGAACTGGTCAGCTGGGGAATAGGTTTTCTGAGCAAGTGCAAGGTTTTCAGACATGGCTTTGCTATTCCATGTCTAGATGTCAAATGAAATCAAGGTCAAGGGAGGTGGTGATGAAGCCTTTCCCTTAAAATCCCCATTATCAAGAGGGTGTAGAAAAGGCTGGGGCCATCTTGCTTAGAAGCGGGAGCTTCTTCCAGATGGTCTTCAGGTCAGGTACAAGGCACCATTAGGAATTCCTTTGTCACTGAGCAGCTGCTCCATAAAAGCCCAGCTGAGTTGGCTTGCCCCTTAGCAGGTGCCTTGCTCATCCTTTTAGGGAACAAACAGGCCAAGCCTGGGCCAGCCTGAGCAAAGGGGAGGAATAAGTCTCAAAACAGTGGAGCTTAGTGTCACTTCCACCTGGTCCCCTGCCAGATGCTTCATGGTTTAGCAGGAAATCCTCCTTGGTCACCCCCTGCCCCCTCCATGGTGTTTGGGGTGGGAGGGGAGCAGAGGTGGGTGCAAGCAGTGGTAGCTCTAGGTGGTTGTACCTGAATGTTGAGTCCAGAGCACTGCAGTGTCCCACGTGCATGGGAGGGAGGCACTTGAGCAAAGCACCCTAGACCTGAGCTCCCTAGGAAGGAGAGTGAAAAGGTTTTATGCATGGGAGGGACTCTCTGTGCTGACTTTGTCTCCCTTGACAACTTAGTGATGCTTTTTCTGAGCACTGGAATAGAGACTGGGCTTCCTGAGAGCTGAATTCACTGTGTCCAAGAGTCTTCAAGGATGGCCAAGCCCTTAAAAGGCTGAGCAAGGAGGGGAARAATAAAGYACYACCAGGAAGTCATGTACCTTTGTACCCTTCTTTCTTTTTGTTTGAAGAGGCTGTACTTAAATAAAGGCCCTATTCCTTTTGATCTGTTTTTTGTTTTGTTTTTTTATTTATCCCCACACACACTCAATGCTAGGGTTTTTCTACCTCCACACCTGAATGGGAAAGTTGTTCACTTCTCTGAGCTTTGCCCCAGCCTATGGTGTTATGTTTTAAACTTGTGCTGCTCTCACATTAAAGGAGATAGTAAGAAAATAAACCAGAGGGGCAGCAGCTGCTGGCCTTCAGTTGGCTGATTTTATTCACCTGTGTAAACTCCATGATTTCATCCACTGTTAGCTGATGGGGTTGTTCAAGAGATCAGCTTGTAAAATAAATAACTAAATGGAGTTTGTTATTGTACCAATAAAGGGCTGGGGCATTTCTTCAGCTTGAGGGTGTGAGGGACTCTCCATGCAAGGAGCCAACCAGTGCTAGTGTCTGTCTTGTCCCTGAACTTAGAAGGGCCTCAGCCTTAAAGTGTTCCTGCAGCCCAGTGCCTTGGGGGAGGGATCTTCACAGTCTGGCCGTAGGGGTTGGATAGGTGTCCTTCCCCATTCCTGCTCAGCTCTGGGCTGGTAGGCTTTGTCCTTGATGTCCTTGATGTACACTTTTGCAAATACATCCCTTCCATAGGTAGGTAGTGTAGGTAAAGCAAGACTGTCCTGCCCATTTTAGCAAAGCAAGGCTACTGCCTCTGCCTCCACAAGACTTCCTGCTTCCCTCCTTCCCTCCATGTGGATGGGGCTGGTGGAACTCAGCAGCTGTGGTTGTTACCCCTTTGCCTCTCCATCAAAGCTGAAGGGCAGTGCTTGGCTGGTTCACAACACAGAGAAGGCGCAAGCCTGGCCCTGGGAAGACTGAGCCAGAGCAGCTGGTGTGAGCTTGATCCTAAAAGGGGGTCCTGGCTGTGTCTGCAGAAAGCTGGAAAGCCAAAAGCAAACCACTGCAAGATGTTTCCACCTCCACGTTGTGCCTTAACTCAAGAGCCTTCTGTACCAATACCTATTTTGTGGCAGGAGTTACAATAATCTTCATGCAAACAGGGATAAGGGTGGAAAGTAGTAAGGAAAATCAGACTTGAAACAGCAGGGATGGCTGAGTTGCTGGTCTGGGCACGTGTGCCTCTCCTTTGGAGTGGGTGTCCAGCTCCTAAGTAGACAGTTTCTCAGCTGTCATAATCAAATAGAAACACTTCATGTTCTGGGTGCAGAGTGAGTCCTCTTCCTATGGCATGGTTGTGTTAAGAAGTTGTCAGTGAAAAACACAGAAAAAGGAATAAGAGGTGCAGASCTGTGTCAMATGATGGGGTGGGAGCAATTGCTGGCCACGTGGCTTCCCAAAGCAGAGCCCCCCTGCTYAGTGTGGCTCTGCTACTGGAGGCCCAACCTTCTCCCTGGGTTCCCRTTTCCAGGGTTTCAGCCAGAGCGCAAAGCTCGCCCGTGCAGATCTGCDCTGGCTGGGCTAGGACAGCAGAGCTGCTGTCATTTGTGCTGTGGTGTTCAGGCAGACAAGAGCATCTTGATTTTTGCTCTGCAAGGCAAGTCCAGGTCTCTCCCAYGCGCTTCTCCAATGGTCAAATTTTCCTCAGTGCGGTGCGACCCCTGCCCAGCGCAGCAGTGAAGGGCGCTGGCTCCAGAGCTGCAGGCCTGGGGTTGGGTTTGGGATTGGGGGTGCAGGGGCGCTGATTGTAGCCTGAGGTAAAAGGAGGTGGGCCAGRAAACTGAAGATGGTTTTGCTCGAGATGGGTCCTGACAAGCGTCTCGAGTAGAGCTAGTGGTAGTGAGTGCCCAGCTCCCTCCTCAGCCCTGCTGCGCATCTGCTCCCCGCACCTCTTTGCATCACTTGAGTAATGCTCGTGCCCAGCACCCCTGYCAAGCCAGTCAGCATCCCCAAGAACTACCTGTACCTGGACATTTCACGGGGCACAGGCAGGCCATAGATCTCCTGGATTGGCTCTTCCAGGGGTGCTGACAGCACCCACCCACTCTCCCTCCTGACAGAAGGTGCTGCCATTCCTGCGATAGGGCTTAGGGTTTCAGGCAGGAATCACAGAGAAGAACTTCTCRCGTGTCATGAAGGCAGTGCTGAGGGGTGACACCACCAGAAGTTTGAGGGCATCAGCGTGGTATAAAGTCTTGGGTAAGAGCACAAGGAATGTCTCAATGTGTGGTGTGTTGGCAGGAAGGCAGAGGGGAGACCTGGATGAGCTGGAGAGAGGCTGGTGGGAAGCTGAGACCTGCGTCCTGGACAGAGATGTAGCGGTAGCGGACAAGGATCAGAAGATGACCAAGGTGAGCTGCATAACGGAGCGAATGGCCCTGAATGGTTTGTGAGCAGCCCGCTGCGAAACGCCCTGCTGTGAGAGCAGGTGAAGACTCGGGTGGTGTGAGTGTGAGTGGAGTGTGTGACAGGGACACAACGGGGCACCAGTCGGCTCGTGGACCATCATCTGTTAGAGCAGCTGAAGACTCGGGTGGTGTGAGTGTGAGCGGAGTGTGTGACAGGAACAAAACGGGGCACCCGTCGGCTCGTGGGCTGCCCGCTGCAGCAGCACCCGCTGTTTGAGCAGCTGAAGACTTGGGTGGTGTGAGTGTGAGTGCAATGTGCGACAGGAACAAAACGGGGCACCCGTCGGCTCGTGGGACACCCTCTGTTTGAGCAGCTGAAGACTCAGGTAGTGTGAGTGTGAGTGTGTGACAGGCACACAACGGGGCACCCGTTGGCTCGTGGGACACCCGCTGCAGCAGCACCCACTGTTTGAGCAGCTGAAGACTCGGGTGGTGTGAGTGTGAGTGGAGTGTGTGACAGGGCCACAACGGGGCACCCGTCGGTTCGTGGGCCGCCCGCTGCAGCAGCACCCGCTGTTTAAGCAGCTGAAGACTCGGGTTGCGTGAGTGCGAGTGGAGTGTGTGACAGGGCCACAACGGGGCACCCGTCGGCTCGTGGGCCGCCCGCTGCAGCAGCACCCGCTGTTT